TATCTATCTATCTATCTATCTACATATTCTTCAGTTAGATTATGAACTACCTGATGTATAGGACCCGATGATTTCTTGCATCTCCTCACAGTTGATAGGATGGTACTAAGTAGGAATGTAACTGATACCCAAAATAGTCTTTAAATTGAACTTCTTTTTTTTTTTTTTTGTATTTAGGACTGTAAAGAGATTAAAGGAGAGCGTTTTATTAACTGGGGAATAAAGCTTTCAGTGAACAATGTCTCAGCAGAAGACAGAGGGAACTATACATGTCAAGCCAGACTGACACACGCAGGGAGAGAGTACACTGTTTTAAATAGAATTACTGTGGATACCAGTAAGTATGCCCATACCCACTGCCTGGACTTCCTCTTGGCTTTGCATTAGATGGCTCTCTGACTTTGAGAGAAGTGATTCTTGATCTTGATCTTCCAGAAGGTTAACAGGCTCTCAAGCGTGTCATTATTAGAATCAGAGCAGAAAGAATGAGGCAAAAGGGCATGAGAAGTTTTGTTTCCTCATCTGAAGAAACAGAATACTCAAAGATCTCAGTTTATTTATGAAAATTAAGTGCGATCACATATGCAGAGTAACTATTAGGGTGCCTGGCTAAGTGTAGGTATTCAGTAAGTGATGGATATTAGACATATTACTCTATTTCCCTCCACCCTCACTGGTGTTACTCTTCTGGTGGGCCACTCCAGCTTTGACCTCCCCTGGCTCAGGCACTGCAGAGTTCAAAGTCTCTATAATTGGTTCCAGGATGCCCAATGCTCATGAGATTTTAATTCTTCAACATATGACCTAGAGATTTCAAAGCAGACTCATAGGGGTAGAAGAAACCATAAAAATAATTTAGCTCAAACCATTAATTTTAAGCTTGAGCTAAATTAGGTCCAGGAAGCAAGTGACTTATTGAAGTTTTCCAAGTTGGTTAGTGACAGAAACAGCCAGAACTAAAGCCTCGAGGGCCCAAGCAAGCATTTTTCTTCTAAACACATTCAGCAAGGAGTTCCCTATGTTGCCTTTCACTTTAGTTTTTTAATAGAGGGTGGTTTTTTATATTTACTTGTCTAACTGGAAAGAACTGAAGGCTGACTATATCTTTGACTTGGACCTTCATGTTTGTCACTAATTTCTGTTCGACTTCATGTCCTGGGTGATACTTAAAGATTTCTTGATGATGTGGCTCTCTTAGGGGATGCATTCGGCATGGGTGGCCTCCCGCTTCCTACCTGGAGCCCCTTAATTATGAAAATTAATGGCATTAGATTTTGTGATTTTTATGCTTTGGGTTTTATGCTACCTGAGATAACTCTGAAAGTAGACACTGGCTTTGTCTTGTTCACGATTGTATCCCTAACACCTAACCTAGTGCCTGGCCTCGATTAGTCCCAGATCTACGTATGAACTCAATGATTGACTATTCCCATGCTTTGGTTTTATGGGGAGCTGAGGGAATTTTTTGAAAGGTGAAATTTCAAAGAAAAAAATGAAGAATACCTCAAGAGGTGATTGAGTCCAACAGTCTATATTTCATGTCATTGCAATAACCATTTATTTGTTATCTGCCAAAAATGGTTAGAACCTGATAAGTTAAAAAAACAAACAAACAAAAAACAAACAAACATACGTTGTTTCTCCTATTAAGAAGCTCTCAGCCTAGTGGTAGTAGAGGAGCAGAGACGTAAGTGGATCATTTTAGTGTTATGTGGTAAGCATAGAGTTACAGGCAGTTTCTGGGGGAGCAAGAAAAGAGTCAGAAATAGCCACAGGAGTAGCAAATAGATGGTCTGGGAGGCTTATAAGAGGAATTGCCTCTTAGTTGAATTTTAAAGGATGAGTAGGATTTACAGAAATAAAGAAGAGCGAGGAGGGGCAGGGAGAGGAGAATATGGAAAAGTGTAGCAGTTTCTATCATTATAGTTTATGTTGGATCTAAAATTAATCTTGTTAGAGCATATGTAAGTGCGAGGTGAGGCGTGGTGGAAGCTGAAGCCATAGAGTCAAACAAGGTCAAGGGGGCCAGTTATATGCAGGCTTTACCATGCTGCCGCTGAAGAGCCCTGGGATGGGTACAAGTGCCGAGTAATGAGGCTGCATTTGGGATGGGCAAACTCAGTCTTGAGATGGTTTGAGCAGGAGTTGAAGAGGGTCTGGAGGCCTGCAGACCACTTAGGCAGCTGCTGCAATCTCAGGAGAGTGCTGATAATCTGAACTTGGGTGGAGGTGGTAGGGATTTTTCTTCAGGCAGTCACTTAGTGACTCTTCATTGTGTGCCCAACAAGGCCAGGACCTGTGCTAAGCAGAGAGAACATGATGGTGAGGAAAACAGCCCATGACCACTGATCTGATGGAGCTTTGAAGTCTGAGTAGGGAAGAAGGCAGAGATAAGTCAAATAATCTACTAATGAGTAATTATCAAGGAGATTCATGCAGTGAAGGAAAGGGAAATATGAGATCAGAGAAACAAGGACCTATTGCAAAGACAGTTTGGTCAGGGAAAGCTTCCTGAGGATAGTGATGCTTGTGGTCAGGAAGCATCAACTGAGTGATGGAATGGGTGAGAGTTTTTGAGACTGAAGATGCAGCCAAAGTGAAGGCCCTATAATGAGACAGACAATGGTATGTCTAAAGGATGGAAAGCAGACAGGTTGGCTGGAACGATGCTGAGTGAGGGAGATCATGGTAGGTGATGAANACATACATGTAATGGGAATACCAGAAGCAGAAGAAAGAGAGAAAGGAACAGAAATATGTGAAACAGTAATGACGGAGAATTTCCCCAGATTAATGTCAGACACCAAACCACAAATCCAGGAAGATCACAGAACACCAAATGAGATAAATACCAAAAAAACACCCCACCTACTTACTAAGCATATCATTTTCAAACTACAGGAAAATCAAAGATAAGGTGGGGGGAGGGGAGAGTCCTAAAAGAAGCCAAAGGCAAAAAAAAAAAAAACCCAAAAAGCCTTCCATATAGAGACACAAAAATATGAATTACACTCAAGTTTTCAGAAATCATGCAAGCAAGAAAAGAGTGGAGTGAATTATTTTAAATATTGAAAGAATGAAATGCTGAGTGTGGCAGTGCTTAGTACCTAGTCTGGGGCTAAGTCAGCTGACTGGGCACTCTGACGTCATTGAACCCAAGCAAAAAGGATATTGTGATAGGAACTCAGATTTTCACTTTGTTAGTGTAAGAGAATTGGGTAGGAATAATTTCATTAGCTTGTCCCCCCCCCCTTTTTTTTTTTCAGATGGGAAGCTGTATGATGCATACGTCTTATACCCCAAGCCTCAGAGAAAAAGCCAGAGCCATAATGTGGACACACTGGCATTGAAGATTCTGCCCAAAGTGCTGGAGATGCAGTGTGGATACAAGTTATTTATATTTGGCAGGGATGAATTTCCTGGACAAGGTATGTTTTAAGTGAGGTATAAAAATGTCAAATGAATAAACAATAAAGGAACCTCTCTGTTCCTTCACTTTACAAATGGTGGGGACTCTGCTTGTCTTTCCCACAGAACCACAGGGGTCTTTCACCTCCCCCACCCACAGCCCCTGAGCTGTGGAGGCTGGGACCAAGCTCTCTTCTCGCAATTAGGCTCATTTCTGCAACAGGATAACTGGGATCCTGGGTGAAATAATGTGACTCTCACTTTGAGTAAGGATATCGTTAACCCATTTGCATGAGCAGGTGGTGGATGACATAGACTTGGCCAAGAGACTGAAAGTGGTCATTTGCCACGCCATCCTTGAGAGTAATCGCTGTGTATTTTCCGTCAGTTGACTGTGTAAATCAGCTCATGTTTAAAGCTGATTTTATAAACCTCACTGCTCCCCCCCCCCCGCAATCTTCATCTACCTAAATAAAATAGAAATTATGTATTTACTTCTCCTATTTAATAGGAGTGTAGGTTTGGGCACTGCAGNATTTATGCAAATACATTTTTGTATTTTTGCCAACAGTCAATAAGGGCAAATGCAGATGATTTAAGATCAAAAGTAGGGTTGAATTTCTTTAGGAAATGAAAGGAATTTAGCCAGAACCTAGATAAACTGTCACCCTCTACTAGATAGTGGTGAACTATATCTGCCAATAGTCCCAGTTTCCTCAGAAAACTCTCTAGTAGGTCTACACTTCTGTAAGTTTCTTGATGAAATAAGTGGTTATTGTTGGTGGTGGGGTGTCCAAATCTTCATTATTTGTTGCTATTCATTGGCATTTCCTCAATTGCTGTTCAAGTTACTATGGTTGGGAAACAAATTACCTCAAAACTTCAGGGCAAAAAATCAACCATTTATTTTGCCTGTGGATTCTGTGGGCCAGGAATGTGGACAGGCACAGTAGGCGTGGCCTGTCTCAGCTCCATGGTGTCTGGGGCCTCCGCTGGAGGATTGGCACTTGATTTTGGCTGCTGGCTGGTGACCTCAGCAACTCTCCACAAGGGTACCTCCCAACAGTCTCTCTGTGTGGCTATGCTGGGCTTTCTCACAGCATGGTTTCTGGCTTCCAAGGGCTAGTGTTTTAAGAACAAAAGGAGCCAGGTGAAAGCCATATTTTATGACTAAGATCCTGAATTTTTAGTATCAATTACACCCCATTCTACCCATTCTGTTTGTCAAGGCAGCTACAGAGTCTTGCCCAATTTTAAGTGAGTGGAAATAGATTCCACATCTTTGTGGGGCATGGTAAAGTTCTGAAACATAGGACTAGAAATATTGCTGAGGCTATTTCTGGAAAACACAGTCTCACACAGTTGCACAGAACTAATCTGGGGAATGTTTTGTGAAGTTTCCTGCTGCCAGGAGTGGTGACTAGGATTTGAATCAAGGCTGTGAATTTTCCCGCTGGGAGACCTTGGTGAAATCACACAGCTTCCTTACCCCTAATCCAAGGATAGAAGTGTGACCCTCACAGTTGACTGTGAGAGGCAGAGCCATGAAGGGCTGGCTTGCAGTGACCTGATAGGACCCTTCAAAACCAGTGGGCTAAAGCAAAAAGCAAAATGGCTGCAGCTTGATCTTTTGCTATATTGGTCAGTATTACAAATTGGTCATTCCAAAGTGATGAAAACCCACTGCGTTTTGAGGACAAGTCAGGAAGATATATTTCTATTCAAAAGCTTAGTCAGTAAGAAACAAAAAGATGACCAAAAAATTAGAAGCATTTTTATATTTTGAGTTTTTAGAAGGTGTGAGATTCTCTTGCTACCCAAATTTCTTCGTTTCTGAGTCTGCGCATTGCACAACAAGGAGCACCTGTGTCCTTAGAGAACACGGAACGCTATCAAGAGAGAATTCACTTGTAATATTGGTTTTTTGTCTTCCTTCCTTCCTTCCTTCCTTCCTTCCTTCCTTCCTTCCTTCCTTCCTTCCTTCCTTCCTTCCTTCTTTTCTTCCTTCCACGACAATGGTAAAGAAGAGAAACAGATCAAGAGAAGAGACACTAGTGGCAGGGCCTGAGACAGGGATGGCGATGAACCAGGACATTTGTTTTAGTTTAGAAAACAAGAAATACCACATTTACTCAGCAGGTCCTGCTATGGTGTGAATAGACTACCAACCTAACCAACCCTTTATCATACAAGGATAAATATTATTCTGTTTTTAAATGGGAAAATTTAATTCCTTCCTAAAAAGTTTAGAAGAATAAGGGATTTATGAAATCTTTTTCCCCCTATTTTCTCTATCTATATGTATAAAATTCTCTTGCTTTAGAAATTCTGGTGTGTGAGATTAAATTTTATATAGAAAAATATTCACCTATGCAGTGGTGATCTAGCCTAGTGACATTTAAGGCATTCCACAAGGAGTTGTAGCTGGGTTAGGTTTTTGCCAACTCTAAACACAAATCAGTCATCTCTTTAGTACCTGCCCTATGACCCTGATTTATTAAAAAGCTGAATCTGTTCATGGTCTAGAACTTTTCTGTCCCCCATATAGATGCCACCTCTTTGAGCCTCTGTAAAATCAAGCCCCATTCAGACACCTGGCAGTGCTGATGGAGACCTCAGGTCCTATCCCCACCTTCACACAACTTCCTTTCATGACAGCATGTGGGAGACTGAGGAAGTGTGCATGTGTGTGTGTGTGTGTGCTTGTGTTACCATTTTCCACCGGATGGCCAGGGATGATGAGCAGAGGCCTGCAGGTTGGCAGTGGTTGGTGTGAGAATCATGGAATGAGAAAAGGCTATGTGTAAACTCTAAAGTTCTGTACACATTTTAACTACTTTTATTTAGATCAAAACTAGAAGAGCCCAAGACTTGACCCTCTTTCATTAGGCTTAGAACCACTCCCCTTCAAGTCTGTTGATCAAACAAATTTCCATAAAAAAGGAATAGAAGAGGCTAGCTTCCCTCCCCCATTCTCATTAGGTTGGCTTTAAATTTCCGAATGGCCTGGAGCTCAAAAATCACATTTTCAGTGAGATTTCCACTCAAAGCTCCTAAGCCCCAAAACTTTTTTATTCATGTGCTCCTTGAGCAGAGCACACATACCCCCAGTTTCATGCCTTTCTCAAACTATTCCCCTTCATGGCTGGTTTATCCTCCACTTCCAGCCCCTCATTGTTTTCTAAACTCTTTTCACCTTTTCATCCATGTCCTTTGTGAATTTTTACTAAGAACTCTAGGCTATGCAGAATTTTTTGTTTCTTTCTGTCTCTTCTGTTCATTCAGCCATTTCTTATCTTATAGAGCCGTATGCTCTTTTTACATCTTCTACATCTATGAATGGTCTTCCCAGTTAGGTCTTGTGTCTTGTTCATCTGTTCAGTGGCTGCGATTTGCAGTTGCTCAATAAACACTTGCTCGTTCTGATGATGATGACATGCGCTGTTGTGTTTGACTTCTCGGGGCTGCACAGCCAACTCCTAGAGTCTGCTCAGATGCTTGGCTTTTCCACAGAGCAATATGCAGTTGTAGTGATGGAATTCACTGGTAGGTTTAAATTGTAAGAGATTCGGCCCATTTTGCCTCATGCAGTTAGGACAGCACTCCATTGCACAGGACCTGTCGAGGGTGACATTGATTGAGATGCTTGCTTTCAATTCCTGTTTTGAGCCAAACCACAGGGAGTAGTTATAGCAGACATGGAAGAATGCCTCCGATGGGCTTATTACTAGACTGGACATGGCTGAGGAAAGAATCTCTGAGCTTGAGGATATCTAAAAACAAACCTCCAAAACTGAAAAGCAAAGAGGAGAAAGACTGGGAAAAAAAAAAAAAGAACAAAATAGCCAATGACTGTGATACAACCTCAAAAAGTGAACATACATGTAATGGGAATACCAGAAGCAGAAGAAAGAGAGAAAGGAACAGAAATATGTGAAACAGNGGAGCTTTGAAGTCTGAGTAGGGAAGAAGGCAGAGATAAGTCAAATAATCTACTAATGAGTAATTATCAAGGAGATTCATGCAGTGAAGGAAAGGGAAATATGAGATCAGAGAAACAAAGACCTATTGCAAAGACAGTTTGGTCAGGGAAAGCTTCCTGAGGATAGTGATGCTTGTGGTCAGGAAGCATCAACTGAGTGATGGAATGGGTGAGAGTTTTTGAGACTGAGGATGCAGCCAAAGTGAAGGCCCTATAATGAGACAGACAATGGTATGTCTAAAGGATGGAAAGCAGACAGGTTGGCTGGAACGATGCTGAGTGAGGGAGATCATGGTAGGTGATGAAGTTGGAGAAGTAATCAGGGGCCGAGATTAAGTAGAAACATGCAATCCAAAGTGGGAGTATGGACTTTATTCTAAGAACAATGGTAAGCAGCCAGAAGGGTGGAGAGCAGGAGAGTATCATGACATGACTTTCATTTCTGAAAGCTCATGGAGGCTGCTGTGCACAGAATAATGCCACAGAGACACGAGTGGCAGTTAGTAGACAGAAATGCAGGTGAGACATCAGGTAGGCACAGACAACATGGAGGCACTGAAGGCAGAGCGATGCAGATGGATTTGAGGCATTTTAGGAGGTAAAACCCACAGGTCTTAGTGTTGGATTGAATATGGGGTGAGGGATGTGGCAAGGTCAAGGAAGCGAGGCCTTTGGGCATATGCAGCTGACTGGACAGTGATACCATTCAATGAAATAAGATAACTTTGGAGGAAAATTTAGGAGTAAGATCATGAGTTTGGTCTTGGCTATGCTGAGTACTTGGTGCTTTTAAGATGCTCAAGTGGAGATATCGAGTAGGCTGTGGTCTATGTGGGTCTGGAGCCTAGAGAAAGATATGAAGATACAACTTACTCCTACCCAGTCATTGGACTTTAGATGGCAATTGAAGAGATGGATATATATGAGAATGCCTAGGGGAAGGGTAGAGAGTAGAAAACGAAGTGTTTAGGAGTGAAGAAAGAGGCACAGACTGAGAAATGTTATGAGGAAAAATGGGTTTGACTTGGTGATTTATAT